TGTACACCGTCTGGGTGATTACACACACAGTCCTGGTGACCTGTATCCATCTATTACACACAGTCCTGGTGACCTGTATCCATCTATTACACACAGTCCTGGTGACCTGTATCCATGTATTACACACAGTCCTGGTGACCTGTATCCGTCTATTACACACAGTCCTGGTGACCTGTATCCGTCTATTACACACAGTCCTGGTGACCTGTATCCATGTATTACACACAGTCCTGGTGACCTGTATCCGTCTATTACACACAGTCCTGGTGACCTGTATCCATCTATTACACACAGTCCTGGTGACCTGTATCCATGTATTACACACAGTCCTGGTGACCTGTATCCATCTATTACACACAGTCCTATGGCTCAGTACAGCGGTCCCTTGCTGCGTCCTCACACTGTGTAGGGTGGGTGCTGAGGGTGTCACACGGGGTGTCATCGGCAGGAAATGAAATCTTTTCTCACTACAAGTCAGGCTGTGATCATTATCAGAGACAATATGACAACGGTGACATGAAATGATCAGATTTGTATTTAATGCATTCCTTGCAGACTGGAGTCCGGGGGGGGGGGGGTTGTGTATTTCATGCACTTGATATAGTCAGAATCATTATATATTCATTTCCAAGGACACAATGCAGCAGAGCTGGGGACACTAAGTCCTTCCTTCTGCCTGTGATTCCCAGTTATGACTCCGGCAGGGCAGGGGGACTCATAGTTTCCAATGGGGCACAAGTGCCATGAGGTCAGTCCATTGACACGTCTTCCAGCGGATGATCTGTACCTCGGAGCTGGAGGAAGAGTCTGAGCCAGAGCATTGCACATGTGGCCCATCATGGCTACAATGGCTTGCTGGCTCCAGTGCAGTCAATAATAAGTACATTTTTGCTTTTTGCAGTGAGTTCTTTTATTATTTTTTTGGGCAAAATGTTGAAGTCGCCTTAAAGGAGTTTCTGTTGATTTTCCAATTCAGAGCAAAGTGCCCGTCATTAGAAGCTCCCCAACCACCCGTTTATACTTCCCTTCACTGGGCTGTCAGTACCTTTGTTAAGTAGCTGATTCTTTTGGGCATGGGCAAGCATGTGACTTCCTCCTAGGGGTATGGACAAGCATGTGACTTCCTCCTAGGGGGTATGGGCTAGTATGTGATCTCCTCCTTTGGGGTATGGGCTAGTATGTGATCTCCTCCTAGGGGGGTGTGTGGGCTAGCATGTGATCTCCTCCTAGGGGTGTGGGCTAGCATGTGATCTCCTCCTAGGGGGTATGGGCTAGTATGTGATCTCCTCCTAGGGGGTATGGGCTAGTATGTGATCTCCTCCTAGGGGGTATGGGCTAGTATGTGATTTCCTCCTAGGGGGTATGGGCTAGTATGTGACTTCCTCCTAGGGGGTATGGGCTAGCATGTGATCTCCTCCTAGGGGGTATGGGCTAGTATGTGATCTCCTCCTAGGGGGTATGTATGTGCTAGTATGTGTATCTCCTCCTAGGGGGTATGGGCTAGTATGTGATTTCCTCCTAGGGGGGTATGGGCTAGTATGTGATCTCCTCCTAGGGGGTATGGGCTAGTGTGTGATCTCCTCCTAGGGGGTATGGGCTAGTACAGCAATGGGCAAACTACGGCCTGGCGGACCTTTTAATCCGGCCCGTGGAGCGTGCTAAAAAAAAACACAGCTAGGGCAGGCAAACATTGGCTGTCAGGATGTGTGTAGGCGGGGCAGCGTGACGAACGTGAAGGGAGCTAGGCTCCTCTCACAGTCCGCCCTGAAGACCGGAACGGCGCGGGAACACGGCGAGAGGAACGCGCGGAGCAAAGGTAAGTGAATTGACACAGGGGGACTTACTACTTGGGGGGGAATAGTACTGTGGGGGATGAAATACTATATGAGGGATGAATTAATATGGGGGATGAATTACTATAGGGGGGATGAATTACTATAGGGGGGATGAATTACTATAGGGGGGATGAATTACTATGGGGGATGAATTACTATATGGGGGATGAATTACTATAGGGGGGATGAATTAATATGGGGGATGAATTACTATATGGGGGATGAATTACTATGGGGGATGAATTACTATAGGGGAGATGAATTACTATAGGAGGGATGAATTACTATAGGGGGGATGAATTACTATGGGGGATGAATTACTATAGGGGGGGATGAATTACTATGGGGGATGAATTACTATGGGGGGATGAATTACTATATGGGGGATGAATTACTATATGGGGGATGAATTACTATATGGGGGATGAATTACTATATGGGGGATGAATTACTATGGGGGATGAATTACTATATGGGGGATGAATTACTATATGGGGGATGAATTACTATGGGGGATGAATTACTATATGGGGGATTAATTACTATATGGGGGATGAATTACTATATGGGGGATGAATTACTATATAGGGATGAATTACTATATGGGGGATGAATTACTATGGGGGATGAATTACTATATGGGGGATGAATTACTATATGGGGGATGAATTACTGTGGGGATGAATTACTATATGGGGGATTAATTACTATATGGGGGATTAATTACTATGGGGGATGAATTACTATATGGGGGATTAATTACTATGGGGGATGAATTACTATATGGGGGATGAATTACTATGGGGGATGAATTACTATATGGGGGATGAATTACTATATGGGGGATGAATTACTATCTACTCTTGGTCCGGCCCCCGGGTCCAATATATGAACCCATTGCGGCCCTCAAGTCAAAAAGTTTGCCCACCCCTGGGCTAGACTGTGATTTCCTCCTAGGGGGTATGGGCTAGACCAGGGGTGGGCAAACTTTTTGACTTGAGGGCCGCAATGGGTTCATATATTGGACCCGGGGGCCGGACCAAGAGTAGATAGTAATTCATCCCCCATAGTAATTCATCCCCCATAGTAATTCATCCCCCATATAGTAATTCATCCCCCGTATAGTAATTTCATCCCCCGTATAGTAATTCATCCCCCATAGTAATTAATCCCCCATATAGTAATTCATCCCCCATATAGTAATTCATCCCCCATAGTAAATAGTAATTCCCCCTATAGTAATTCATCCCCCATATAGTAATTCATCCCCCATATAGTAATTCATCCCCCCTATAGTAATTCATCCCCCCTATAGTAATTCATCCCCCCTATAGTAATTCATCCCCCATATAGTAATTCATCCCCCCTATAGTAATTCATTCCCCATATAGTAATTCATTCCCCATATTAATTCATCCCTCATATAGTATTTCATCCCCCACAGTACTATTCCCCCCCAAGTAGTAAGCCAAGTCCCCCATGTGTCAATTCACTTACCTTTGCTCCGCGCGTTCCTCTCGCCGTGTTCCCGCGCCGTTCCGGTCTTCAGGGTGGACTGTGAGAGGAGCCTAGCTCCCTTCACGTTCGTCACGCTGCCCCGCCTACACACATCCTGACAGCCAATGTTTGCCTGCCCTGGCTGTGTTTTTTTTTAGCACGCTCCGCGGGCCGGATTAAAAGGTCCGCTGGGCCATAGTTACGGCCCGCGGGCTAGACGTAGTTTGCCCATTAGGGGCTAGACTGTGATTTCCTCCTAGGGGGTATGGGCTAGCATGTGATTTCCTCCTAGGGGGTATGGGCTAGCATGTGATTTCCTCCTAGGGGGTATGGGCTAGCATGTGATTTCCTCCTAGGGGGTATGGGCTAGCATGTGATTTCCTCCTAGGGGGTATGGGCTAGACTGTGATTTCCTCCTAGGGGGTAGTTCTCAAGGCTGAGTGGCCAATCCCCAGATCCTCACACTGTCACATGAGACGGAGGGGTTGACATCAACCTTGTGCAAGCTCCAGTACCCTCTGACAAGGACAGAGTGTGACCCCGAGGAATGACTTGGTGGGGGAGCTCCGGGAAGGTGAGTACTAACAATATCAGGATTGAGCTTTCTAGAGATTTGATTGGACAAAGTATTTTTAAAGGAAGCCCAGCATGATAGAATCGGAGAGCTGCCATTGCTGACCTCCTTCTGAACACATGGTCTCCTGGCTCTCAAGTTTGTTCTGAAGAATATTACTCCACCTTTATTTGTAGATATTCTTTTCTGGTGCCTTCCCCTGACATTCCATATTGGGCCACGAATGTTACCCATGCACACCTCTGACATACGTGGCTTGGGGCGCACAGTCAGCGGCCCTCTACTTGGAGTCTCCAACCAGCTCAGATGGCGCACCGTAGGTGTGAGATGGCATTTTTCTTGTGTGTTCTCCAGGATTTCCCCTCCCCCTTGTTTTCCTTCCTTCTTTCTCCTTGGATCTCGGACGTTCTCCGGCTCTCGGAAATAATCCGCTGTCCTTCCATTCCAGAATTAGCTAAATTCCCTCGGAAGAGGAATGAGGCTTTGCAGCAAACGAGGCGGCCCTAATCTGATGAGAGCTCCACGCGTGCCCAGTCTCCAGGCAGATTTGGTCCCTCTGTCTGCAGACAGGTCCCATTACCTAAAAGGAATCATTTCCTCTCTGCTGGATCAGTGACAACGCTTCTGCGCCCTTCATCTTCACTGGCTTAAAGGGTCAGTCCCTAAAACCAATTCCCTGCTTGGTGGAGGCTAAATCCTCAAACCAGTCTCTTCTCTCTTGGGAGGTCTATTGGTGAGCTCCACAACGTGCGGGCCTTGCGCTTTCATTTCCTGCGGGATTCATTTTCTCATTGTCATCTAATTCGTTCTTGACTTTTCCTGACTCTTCTGGCCCCGCTCAGTGTTTTAGCATTTCCCTGGATCTGTGCACACAGATCCGGCTCACAGCAGCCTCTGGAGAGAAGCGGAGGATGCATGGAAATCTTCCAAGAGAACCAGTCTTGTCCGGGTTAGTGCAGAACTCTGAATATTCTGTTTGAAATGCATTTTGCAGAGAAAAATCTGCTGCCCTCTTGCACTGTCTCCCAGCTCCTGAGGATGCATAACAGTCTCAGACATCAGAGCTCCTGGTTAAGGGGATGTAGACAAGTACAGTCTTGCACAGGTGTACCGGCTCCTCCCCTTCAGTCTTGCACAGGTGTACCTGCTCCTCCCCTTCAGTCTTGCACAGGTGTACCGGCTCCTCCCCTTCAGTCTTGCACAGGTGTACCGGCTCCTCCCCTTCAGTCTTGCACAGGTGTACCGGCTCCTCCCCTTCAGTCTTGCACAGGTGTACCAGCGCCTCCCCTTCAGTCTTGCACAGGTGTACTGGCTCCTCCCCTTCAGTCTTGCACAGGTGTACTGGCGTCTCCCCTTCAGTCTTGCACAGATGTATCGGCTCCTCCCCTTCAGTCTTGCACAGGTGTACCGGCTCCTCCCCTTCAGTCTTGCACAGGTGTACCGGCGCCTCCCCTTCAGTCTTGCACAGGTGTACCGGCGCCTCCCCTTCAGTCTTGCACAGGTGTACCAGCTCCTCCCCTTCAGTCTTGCACAGGTGTACCGGTGCCTCCCCTTCAGTCTTGCACAGGTGTACTGGCTCCTCCCCTTCAGTCTTGCACAGGTGTACTGGCGCCTCCCCTTCAGTCTTGCACAGGTGTACCGGCTCCTCCCCTTCAGTCTTGCACAGGTGTACCGGCTCCTCCCCTTCAGTCTTGCACAGGTGTACCGGCTCCTCCCTTCAGTCTTGCACAGGTGTACCGGCTCCTCCCCTTCAGTCTTGCACAGGTGTACCGGCGCCTCCCCTTCAGTCTTGCACAGGTGTACTGGCTCCTCCCCTTCAGTCTTGCACAGGTGTACAGGCTCCTCCCCTTCAGTCTTGCACAGGTGTACCGGTGCCTCCCCTTCAGTCTTGCACAGGTGTACTGGCTCCTCCCCTTCAGTCTTGCACAGGTGTACTGGCGCCTCCCCTTCAGTCTTGCACAGGTGTACCGGCTCCTCCCCTTCAGTCTTGCACAGGTGTACTGGCTCCTCCCCTTCAGTCTTGCACAGGTGTACCGGCTCCTCCCCTTCAGTCTTGCACAGGTGTACCGGCTCCTCCCCTTCAGTCTTGCACAGGTGTACCGGCTCCTCCCCTTCAGTCTTGCACAGGTGTAGTACCGGCTCCTCCCCTTCAGTCTTGCACAGGTGTACCGGCTCCTCCCCTTCAGTCTTGCACAGGTGTACCGGCGCCTCCCCTTCAGTCTTGCACAGGTGTACTGGCTCCTCCCCTTCAGTCTTGCACAGGTGTACAGGCTCCTCCCCTTCAGTCTTGCACAGGTGTACGGTGCCTCCCCTTCAGTCTTGCACAGGTGTACCGGCTCCTCCCCTTCAGTCTTGCACAGGTGTACTGGCGCCTCCCCTTCAGTCTTGCACAGGTGTACCGGCTCCTCCCCTTCAGTCTTGCACAGGTGTACCGGCTCCTCCCCTTCAGTCTTGCACAGGTGTACCGGCTCCTCCCCTTCAGTCTTGCACAGGTGTAGCGGCTCCTCTCCTGGACTGAAACGGCTTCTTCTGATTTCACTGCACACTGTGAGCTTCTCACAATGTGCATTAGAAGCTGCAGAAAGTCAGTCAGACCTCATTTCCTGACTGGAGGACCTCCAGCATATTCTAGCCCATTCATCCCCAGCTTGACTGTCCCTGGTCCAACCCTTTCATTCTTTGGATTTCAGTTTTTTCAATCATGGAGGCTCGGCATCACAACCTGCCTAGGACTGCCCACTCCTCCAAACTGACCCCCTCCCAGGGGTGTATTTACCACAAGGCAAACAAGGCATTTGCCTAGGGCAGCATCTTTCGGGGGGGGGCAGCACTGCCCCTCGGAAGAAGGGATGACACGTGGCATGGGGACCTGGTGGGTTCCGAGAGAGGCTGTGGGTTTCATGACGGTGTATGCACAGCCCAACTCTTGTTCCTGGGGATGTCGGGAGCTGTGAAGGTGAGTGTCTTTCTCTCGCCATGGGGGATGGAGGCTGGTGTACGGGGGGCAGTGGTAGTGGAAGGCTCTCTCTGGTGGGGGGCAGGGGTGTTCTTTGTCAATGTCAGCTTTTCTCTGAGCGGCGGGGGGGGGGGGGGGGGTGCTGATTTTTGATTTGCCTAGGGCAGCACAAAACCTAAATACACCACTGCTTGTAACAGAGGGAAGGCGCCCCCATCCATCCCCCTACAGTAAGACGTTGTGCCCGGGGCAGCTGCCCCTCCCGCCCACTACTTGTTCTGGCCCTGCGTGTTGGCTACCTTTTATCTTCCTGTTTCACTCTGGTGGGGGGCTGGGGTGTTCCTGGTCAATGTCAGGTTCTCCCTGCAAGGGGGGGGGGGGTGCCGATTTTTGTGTTGCCTAGGGCAGCACAAAACCTAAATACACCACTGCACCCACCCATCAAGGTATTTTGCATATCTCCTCCTAAGAGCCCACCCACTGCTTGCATCAGAACTGAGGGCTCTTGGGAGGAATACTAAGGCAGGGTGCTATGATGTTTTCAAGAAGCTATGTACAGCGCCCTGGTGACTAGCCCCTCCCACCAGCCATGTTCTACTTGCAATGCATAGAGATGCACAGAGACTTGGTGATGACAGACTTCCGGTTTTTCCTGCTTCTCTTCTGAGGCTCCTGTGAGCTGCACTGCAGACAAAGCGTAAAAGTGGGCAGTGGAAAGGAGAGTAGAGCAAAATGCAGCGCCATAAAGGTGAAAAGGAATGTAGGTCAGTGTACAAGCACCCGACTAATTGGATACAAATCTTACGGATTGTATTGTAAAGAAGATTGATCACCGTCTTCCAGCTTCTGAGTGTTCAGAACTCTGTAGATGACCTCTGACCTCCAGTTTTCCCGGTCTCTGTATAGCTTCTTGTATAATTCCAGGTATGACTGGATCCCTTTAAGGGGAAATATTTTAACGATTGTTGATCTCGCTTTGTCTCATTCAGATGAGTCTTCCTCAGAGAGCTGCAACGGGAACCCCTTTTCTGTAACCAACCCATCCACCACTCCCACTCCGCTACCTGACATGAATGGGAACCCCCCTGCTCCAGCCCTGGAACAGACCACCACATCGGAAGAGCAGCCCATCAACCTCAGTGACAAAGTCCGGCCTTCCCTGGGGGTCCCGCCATATCCATCCGACACTGAGGCCCTGAGGAGCCGAGGAAAATATGCCCTGAAAGCCACCTCTGAGGTAGGTTCATCTTCTTTGTGGGGAAGAAAGATGTAACGGAACCGTCCCCAGACTGCACTTGGGTACTTCCGTCCGAACACCGACCACAGACACCACAGCTGACCATACAAGACTAGACGACACCAGTCTTGAAGTAATCCAGGAAATAGACTACTTTATTTTAACACAGATACAAGATATATACATTCAAGGGGACAGTCCCCCCTCCCTGCATAATGATACAGGGCGGGGCAATCTACCTTTAGTAACCAGAGACACACCAACAGACAGTCCCATCAGGAGGGAGGGCTGCTGGAGACACCCCCCACCAAGCCAATACACAAACACATATATCCCATAATAGTTTGTTCCCAACCAAGACACACAATAGAACAATGGAATGCAACCACATGGCATTAAACAATCAACAACCCCCCACCCCAATATCAGGACAGATCACCCTGTACCCCTAACAGGCACAGGGTGACTTACACATAGAGGGATATGGGGAGCTGAGACAGGCGTCTCCCCACCTCTCCAAAGTAAGCTGGGTTCCATGGGGCCCCCACCCAAAGTGACTCCCGTCACAGAAGAGGTGCACCTTTATAGGATAACTCCACCAAAAAGTTGAAGAGGAGGTGTGGGCTGGATGACAGTTTGATAAGGTGCGAATGGAGCCCTTTACATCCAAGGTCTGTCATCGGGCGTCATCCAGGGTCAGATGGCTCTTGGGTCTGGCTGGGTATTTCAGCAATGCTCACCCTTCTGAAATACACTAGAACCTTCTTATTAAACATTGTTAAATTTCAAAATCCTAACACTGACGTACAAAGCTGTCCACCATACTGCCCCAATCTACATCACCGACCTAATATCCAAGTACCACCCCAACACGCACACTCCGCTCCTCACAAGACCTCCTTCTCTCTAGTTCCCTGGTCTCCTCCCATGCCCGCCTCCTGGACTTCTCCAGGGTGTCACCCATCCTCTGGAACTCCCTGCCCCAACCCATCAGATTATCACCTACTCTCCTCTCCTTTAGGCGCATCCTGAAACCCATCTCTTCAGGGAAGCCTACCCCACCCCCTGCTAACTTGCTGACCTCCTCCACTCTTCCTACCACTCCATCCCCCACAGCTATCTCCTCCTGTGCCACCATCCCCTCCCTCCTAGATTGTAAGCTCCAAAGAGCAGGGCCCTCGATCCCCTCATGTTTTGCATTGTATTGGTATTGTTCTGTCACATATTCTGTCCCCCTTTGTAATGTACAGCGCTGAGCGAACTATTGGCGCTTTATAAATACTGTATAATAATAATAATAATAATAATAATAATAATAATAATTTCCACCTGTAATGGCAATGGTGTCAATCACTGGACAATTTACTGACACCCCCCCCCCTCCTTTTTTTTTTTATTGTTGTCAGTCCCCTCCATACAGCTCAGGAAGTTACGACTCCATCAAGACAGAAGTGACAGAAGTAAGTGGCTGCGCAGAGGACCTGTCGGTGGGCAGAGCTGCGGCTGTGGATGACGATGATGACGACGACCACGAAGATAACGACCGCATCACAGACACGGAGGGGCTGGACCCTGAACGTCTGAAAGCTTTTAATGTGAGTTTCCTGTATGGAGACTTCAGGTTAGCGGCAATAGAAAATATTTAATCATTTTCTGTTCCTTAAAATGGATCTACACTGCATCTGAGCAGCACAAACCAAAAACACTATGTCATTCATTTTTGATATTCATAGCAAACTCCCCCATCCATCCATGTCTCCATGCTTTATTTTGCTTGGAAAGTTCCATGGCCATCTTAAGTAAGGGCAGATGATTCATGTAGCATTTACTTCCTGGATTCCATCTGCCCTTAGTTAGGCAGGAGGGCATGCTTAGCTGACGAAACCCCTCCTCCCCTTTTGAAGACTCATGGGATGTATGACCTCATTGGTCTAGGCCAGAAACCAGGAAGTAACTGAAGAATTGTAAAAAAAAACAGTTTTAAACAAGAAAATATAATATACCTTCCTATCTATTTATTGATGCTAGCAGCATATGGAGTAAAAATCATCAGTGTTGATTGAGAGAGTGAAGCTCCACTTTAAAAAGCTGAATTCCAGAAGACAGGTAAATACACAGATGAGAATACATTTATTGGAGCTGTTTACCTGCAAAAGATATTTATCTCTTTCCATCCAGTCCTTACGTTTACACAACTCTGCCACTCAGCACAGCCCTGCATGCGAGGGAAGGACACCAGATTTTTCTCTGGTGCATTTCAGTAGCAATTAAAGGTCTTGTCCCTTCCCAGCTTGTGACTGGATAGCTTAAAGCAGATCTCCACCCAAAAGGGGAAGTTCCGCTTTAAGGACTGCTCCCTCGCTCCCCATTAAGGATTGGCACCTTTGGGGGGCGGGCCTAGGCGATCAGAAGCGGAGGGTGTCCTCCCTCCCTGTAGTCTTTTGGAACACATGACCTGTCCCAGGAGACTACAGGACCATTCATGAAGTGCAGTGCTACTCGCACATGCCCAGTGGGTACACGGCTGTGAAGCCACAAGCTATCACAGCCGGGTGCCCACACTGAAGATGCCGGCCTCCTGGAATACAGGACGGCCGGTGAAACAGGCTGCGGGGGACACACCACGGGACCGAGGTACAGGTAAGTGGCTGTTTTATAAAAGTCAGCAGCTACAGTTTTTGTAGCTGCTGACTTTTATTTTTTGACAGGGCAAGTGGAACTCCGCTTTCAGGAGAAGCAGAAGACTGAAGAGCTCATCTCTCTGTAACTCTGCTCTCTTCTTCTATCAACATGTCCCTTTTTAGCACATGAGCACTGCAACACAACTGGTTGCTTCCTTATGCTGCTTCTCTTCTTTCCAGTCTGAGTTCTGCTGTACTGGGGCTGCAAGTGTCTCACACAAAGCCAGTTGAAACATACATTTCTTTTTCATCCATTGAGGGACACAGGAAGTCTTGAACTTTTGGGTTATGCTGCCACCTACAAGAGGAGGAACGCTTGTTAGACTTGTATCTGTTTTATGAGCACTTTTTATAGAATTGGTGTGTGTGGATCTGGCAGTGCCTCGCCTTAAACAAGGTGACTACCGTATTATGGTGGAGAATGGCCTTTAATGACCCAACCAATAAACAGCTAAAGCTCTTTCTGGAGCTTTTTCCTTGCTGGCGAATCTTGCCTGGCACTTGATATTGGCTTTGACCTTACTTTGTTAAACCAAAAACCTCTTAAAAGTGATCTAGCCACAGCTGAGGTTGATCCCTTGTTGATTAAATGTGAGGATCAGATGCCAGTGACATTTTGCGGGACTCTCGTATGTGCGTTCATGTTAGTTCAGCTTTTTGGCTAAAGTTCTGGACTGCGGAACCTTTGAGAAAAGAAACAGATCTGCATGGCCTTCAGGAGACAATGTCTCTTTGGACCGGAACTTGACACCACTGGGATGCACCTGGTGCCCAACAGGCAAAGAATCCTAAGGAACGGACTGCAAAGTCTTCTCCTTCTCTGACTGTTAAGAAATGTCTCATTTGTTTCTCCGGTCCCTCATCTTTCTCATCTAGACCCTCCAAACTTGGCTCCCCAAGGCCTGATACTCCATGTTTGCCATGCCTTCCTCTGCATAAAGGTGTGCCCCCAATTTTCAGAGTGGGGAGAGCGTGAACTGACCCTTGTGTTCACTTCCAGGACTGCAAACTGAATTTTTGATCCCTGCACCCCTCTTGGTTTTTCACCACCAACCTTCCTGAGCCTCTGCGCAGGCTAGCAGACCTCCATCATGCCCTCTTCGGCCTCCTGGATCTAATTGTCATTCCCCCTTTTCAAAATGGTTCCAACAATTTTCAGAGTGGGGTAGAGCGTGAATTGACCTTTGTGTTCACTTGGACAGCTTACATTTCCTGCATGCGGGAGGTGTTGTTCCGGGGCTGCAAACTGGAATTTTGATCCCTGCACCCCTCTTGGTTTTTCACCCCCAACCTTCCTGTGTCTCTGCACAGGCTAGCAGACCTCCATCATGCCCTCTTCGTCCTTCTGGATCAAATTGTCATTTCCCCATTTCAAAATGGTTTCAGGAGTTAAACTCAACAATCTGGTTGTTGTCCCCAAAACCAAAGGTGCCCCATCTTGGATTTCAGGGCTCTGAATATTTGGGTCCAGAAACTCTGAATGGAATCCACCAAATCTGTCATTACCTTCCTTCACCAGGGGGACTATCTGACTTCCTTGGACATCAAAGATGCTTACTTACATGTCCCCACCTTTCCAGTACTTCATCATTTCCTACACTTTGTCAAAGGACCCCTACACTACAAGATGTGGCCCTACTCTTTGACCTCTAGTCTTCACCTTGGATGTTCACTAAGGTGCTGGCCCTGTTAATAGCCCTGATGCACCTTGGAACTGATGGTAGCCTTCTTTGGGGCAGTTCACTTTGCCCATTTTTACTCCAGACATTGCACCACAACATTCTGTTGTCATGGGACAATTTGCTGCGGCCTCTGGACAGACCAGTTTTGTTGATGCAGAGGACCAGGTTGTCCCTGGCTTGGTGTTTCAGGAACCTGCCTCTGAACTAGCTATTCCTTTCTTCCAGTCTTCTGTAAGACTGGACTCTAGCCTGTTAGGATAGGGAAGAGTCCTGAGTACCTTTTCAGCTCAGGGGATTTGGTCGTGATTTAAATCTCATCACCCGAACAACATTGTAGAGCGTCAAGTTTTTTGGCTGTTCCTGTAGTGTTGGACCATCATGCTGGAAGGTCATTTAGTTTGGATTCATCTGGACAAAGAAACGTGTACATCCGCCATCATGGAGGAAGCAGAAGTCTTTCTGTTGCTAGAGAGGTAGTGTCAGAGGACCAATGCTCTCACAGCTAATGCTAGCTAATGCTCACTGCCATGCAGCTAATTCTCGTGCACATGTACCAGCACACAGTTAACCTCAGGCTAGTATCAAGTGTGCACTGACACGTAGGGCCATCTGTGTGGGCCAACGCATATCAATGCACATGTCCACACGCATTGGCACACACAGCTATGCGCATAGTCACCAAACTGCTGATTTAAAGGAAACCCTAGTGTGTGCTAATCAGTGGAAATTCTTCAGCATTCCAGTGACCTGTGTTCCTGCTTATGCTGATTGATCTCCTGCTGCTGACCCAGCTAGTCCCTGACCTTGCTCTGTGGATTTTGGATTCCCTGGTGCTGACCTCGGCCTGCTACTGGATCTCGCTCTGCCTCACCATGTATGCCCAGGCCAACCCTGACAATGTCTTTGTTCCTGGCAGTCACCTGCTACCAAGCTACCGGCACCTGTGCTGCTTTGAGCCTTGTACCTCTGTCACAACCTTTAGGGGTGCTTGGACCAGAGCCGTAAGGGAAGCCCACTCGTCAACTTGGCCTCCAACCAAGGTATGTGACAGATAAAGCAAATCTTGTGCAGGGGCAGAACATCACAGCCTTGTCAGCCATGATTATTTCAGGCCTAGATGATTGGCAGGCTGATTTCCACATTCAGCAGTGCCTAGACCTGCGGTAGTTGTCCGTACAACTTTAGGTGTTCCAGGGGGGGGAAAGTCTACTGAACACAAAATCTATCTTTAGACATGGAAGGCTTACTTTACTTGGTATGAGTTTTGGGGCTTCTACCACAGGGGTTTCTCTGTGGGCCAAATCCTCTTCTCTCCTCTGGGATCAGCTTTTGATGCTCAGCACAATTAAAGGTCAGGTTTCTTCCATTTCATTTCTGTTTCAGAGGCCGTTGGAGTCTCAAGCTTTGGTTAAAATTTTTCACCAGGTTCTTCCGTGTAGGCTCTCCTGTCAGTTCCTTGCTGACTCCATATGACCTGAATCTGATTCTCTTTGACTTGCTGAAACTGCTATTTGGATCCCTTACAGACATTCCTCTCTCCAATCTCACCCACAAGGTGGTTTTCATAGTAGCCTTCACCTCTGTGAGACAAATGTCTGAGCTGGGGGCTTTATCCTACAAAGAACCCTTTATGATTTTGCATAGAGACAAGGTGGTGTTGAGACTCTTCTTGCCAAAAGTATTTCTGCCTTTCACCTCAGCCAGGAGCTCATCCTGCTGTTCTTCTGATGTCTTCGGTTCACCAAAAAGAAAATTTCCCTCCATTGTTTGAATATGGTTCAGGCTATGAGAGTCTATCTCAGAACGACCGATTCCTTTTTTGTCCTTCTGCATCAACCCTTAAAGGGTACACTGGCTTCTTGTTCCACCATCTCTAAGTAGCTTGGAAAGACCATCATCCACCATCTCAAGATTGGATTCTACATTTTCCATTTGCACTCTACTAGATCTGTGAGGGCTTCTTGGCATTAAATAACTATTTACCAGATGTTCAAGACTGTCATCTGGACTTCTATTCACACAGTCACTAAATTATACCAGTTGGATGTTTCCTTCTTATCTTATGCCAGCTGATGGTGTAAGGTCCTTCAGACAGCGCTGAGCTGCAGGCAGTCCCCAGTTCTCTTGGGTCTGCTAACATTGGTTTTCTCTGTTGCCCACCCCTCTGTTGGACTGCCTTTGGACACCCTGAAGGTTCAAATCTTCCTGTATCCCTCAATGAACAAGAAAGAAAATACGGCTTTTGCACTCACCAGAATATAATTTTCTTAGGGTCCATTGAGAGACAGAGGTCCCTTCCCTTTGTGTTTATGATCAGGCTACTGCTTTGGTGAAAACCTGAGGCATAGAGGTAGTAGAAGTGGCTATCCTGGGCTAGCCTACAGTTTTTGTTTGCCAATGTCAAGTCCTCCTGTAGGAGCAGTAAAACCTGAAGGTTAAAGTCTTCCTTTCTCATTCAGCAGACTCCAAGAAAAGGGTTTTATGGTGAGTATCAAAATCCTATTTTTCTTAAAGACTCGTAATTGTTTTAAAAAAAAATAAAAAATGCATTAGTGTTAGTTATGTGGCCATTAAAGAAACTTATAGCACTTGGTGATGTTCTTCTGTAACAGTGGAATGCCCACCGGTGTCAGCTGTCCTAATATGTGGCGTTTTTTCCATTTACTAAACATCAGATGTTTGTGCGCCTCTTCGTGGACGAGAATCTGGACCGCATGGTCCCCATCTCCAAGCAGCCCAAGGAAAAGATACAGGCGATCATCGAGTCATGCAGCCGTCAGTTCCCAGAATTCCAGGAACGCGCCAGAAAGCGCATCCGCACTTACCTGAAGTCCTGTCGGCGCATGAAGAAGAACGGCATGGAGATGGTGAGATGTGAACCGGATGCTCTCAGGGTCTGCGTGAGTTACTAGGCGTACAATTCTCTGTGTGTCTTTATTGTGGACTGCGGTGATTGATTGTGTGTGGCAAATACTACACTGGTACACAGCAGGATCTAGAGCCAAGCATACAGCCTGCTATCAGTATAACCACTTGTATGTTACGGGTTTCAAGTGGTATTCCAGGTGATGAGTCCATCTGAGTGGCCAATTAGCTGCTGGATTGTTTTTATAGGTGGCAGAAGGGGTCGCCTACCTCCCTTCCACCACCCGCCGGAGAACCCGAAACCCATGGCGGCCCAGAAGGTCTCCAATGAGCTCTCCCTGGAAGTAAACCGCACCATTTTTAAATCTTGAAAGCATTTGATCACACCGATCTTGGTATGATCAAATTCTTTTAGGGCATAGGAGAGATCTGGGGTCTAATAGACCCCCAATCTTTCAATTGGGAATATGCTGTCCCACTGATACCAATGAAGGGACACACTTCCTCCTAATGACACTAATGATGGAGCACAATTCCTCCCAATGACACCAACAATTGGGCATGTATTCTTCCAATGACGCTAATGAGGGGGCACAATTCCTTCCAATGACTCCATCAATTGGGCATATGCTCTCCCACTGATACCAATGAAGGGGCACAATTCCTCCTAATGACACTAATGAGGGGGCACAGTTCTTCCCAATGACACCAACAATTGGGCATATGCCCTACCACTGATACCAATGAACGGACACAATTCTTCCTAATGACACTAATGATGGGGCACAATTTCTCCTATTGACACCAACAATTGGGCATGTGTCCTTCCAATTACACTAATTAGGGGGCACAATTCCTTCCATTGACACCAACAATTGGGCATATGCCCTCCCACTGAACCAATGAAGGGGCACAATTCCTCCTAATGACACCAACAATTGGGCGTATGCCCTCCCACTGAAACCAATGAAGGTGCACAATTTCTCCTAATGACAGTAATGGTGGGGCACAATTCCTCCTAATGACACCAACAATTGGGCATGTATCCTCCTATTGACACCAACAATTGGGCATATGTTCTTCCAATGACACTAATGAGGGGGCACAATTCCTTCTAATGACACCAACAATTGGGCGTATGCCCTCCCACTGAAACCAATGAAGGGGCACAATTCCTCCTAATGACAGTAATGATGGGGCACAATTCCTCCTAATGACACTAATGATGGGGTACAATTCCTCCTAATGACACCAACAATTGGGCATATGTTCTTCCAATGACACTAATGAGGGGGCACAATTCCTTCCAATGACACCAACAATTGGGCATATGCCCTACCACTGATACCAATGAAGGGGCACAATTCCTCCTAATGACACCAACAATTGGGCATATGTTCTTCCAATGACACTAATGATGGGGCACAATTCCTCCCAATGACACCAACAATTGGGCATGTGTCCTCAGATTGACACCAACAATTGGGCATATGTCCTTCCAATGACACTAATGATGGGGCACAATTCCTCCCAATGACACCAACAATTGGGCATGTGTCCTCAGATTGACACCAACAATTGGGCATATGTTCTTCCAATGACACTAATGAGGGGGCACAATTCCTTCCAATGACACCAACAATTGGGCATATGTCCTTCCAATGCCACTAATGAGGGTGCACAATGCATCCTAATGACAATGGGACCCTATTCCTACCACTGACACCAATGATGAGGCAGTGTTTAGTCCCACTGACACCAGGACATTTTCTACTCCCACTGGCCCCAGTCCGGCACCCACAAAGTCTGAAGGACAGTATACTGGCCCTTTGTTTAGAACGTTTGGAGACCCCTGGTTTATACGAATATTCAAATGTACATTTGCACAAAAACTCTTGGTACGTTCATTGATTTGACAAATAATTTGAAATTTAGTTTTACTTACTTTAACATTTGATTAGGGAATGACTGTAATTTCTCAGACTGAAAGTACATTCATTGCTGGGTATTTGTTCATTCAAGAAAAAATGTTCATCTCTCTCCTTTGAATTTTCTTGTCACTGCAATCGAGAACAGACATCGATTTCAGCCTCCCCTCCCCCACAAACGTTCTTAAAATGAAACATTTCAAACAAAATTCTACTAGTGTATACCCGGCGGTGTCTCCTATAGGCTGCCCGCTGCAAGTTGTGGTGGAAATATATATGATGTAAATGTTCCTTGTAGCCACCTACAGTCTTCCTGTTGTTTCTATTCTTCTTTTTTCTTCTTTTTAGTTTGTCGCTTTGATATTTTTCCCCCTTCTTCTAGTTCGGTGATTTGACATTTTCAGAAGTGTGACGCTTGAAGCAGAGCTCCCGGATTACAATCATGAATTGCCCAACGTGCTTCAAAATATAAAAATCAGCTTTAGCTGCAATCCTCCTATTCGTTAAGATGGAAAACCTTTTGGGTGCAGCTCCCCCGTCCCCCCTAAACTTACCTGAGCACTATCTTAAGCCAGCGATGTGCATGAGAGCAGCGGCTCTCCCGTGTCTCTCTCTCCTCATTGACTCACACAGCAGTGGGAGCCATTAGCTCCTGCTGCTGTCAATCACAACCAGTGAGCCAATGAGGTGAGAGCAGGGGGCGAGGCTGAGCCACACACTGGGTGTGAATAGACAACGACCCCCATTCACCCTCCCATCCCCCTAAACTTACCTGAGCCCCATCTTGATCCAGCAATGTGCATGACAGAGCAGCTGTCCCGTGTCTCTCCCTCCTCATTGACTCACACAGCAGTAGGAGCCATTAGCTCCTGCTGTTGTCAATCACAGCTAGTGAGCCATTGAGGTGAGAGCAAGGCGGGGCTGAGCCACACTCTGGGTGTGAATAGACAACGGCCCCCATTCACCCCCCCCCTTCCATTTCCCCTAAACTTACCTGAGCCCCATCTTGATCCAAGGATGTGCATGAGAGCAGCGGCTCTCCCGTGTCTCTCTCTCCTCATTGACTCACACAGAAGTGGGAGCCATTAGCTCCTGCTGTTGTCAATCACAGCCAGTGAGCCAATGAGGTGATAGCAGGGGGCGGGGCTGAGCCACTCTCTGGGTATGAATAGACAAGGACCCCCATTCACCCCCCCCATCTCCCCTAAACTTACCTGAGCCCCATCTTGATCCAGGGATGTGCATGAGAGCAGTGGCTGTCCCGTGTCTCTCCCTCCTCATTGACTCACACAGCAATCACAGCCAGCGAGCCAATGAGGAGAGAGCAGGGGCCGGGGCTGCGCACCGCTCTGAGTGTAAATGGACAATGGCATGGCTCAGGAGCGAGCCTGTTCGAGTGCCCCCATAGCAAGAGGCTTGCTATTTGTGGGCACTCAGCAGGAAATAAGGAGCCAGGACCGCCGGCGGGGGACCCAAAGAGATGAGGATTATTAGTCCCGCCTATGATTTTTTCCTTTCTTGTTCCTGTTTGATATATATTATTTCCAGTTTACTTAAGGACATTCCCGGCTTGATTATTTACATGCCATTTGTCATTATATTCCTGCATATATTGTACCATGAAGCGTCTGCTTACATAAATAAAAAATAAAGGAATTACAACAACAAAAAAAGATGAGGATCGGGGCTGCTCTGTGCTAAACCATTACACAGAGCATGTAAGTATAACATGTTTTTTTTTTTTTTATAATAATCTTTTTAACCACTTCCTGTCCTGCCCATGTATATAAACAGCTGGATGGGAGCAGTGCAGGGGCGGGTGGCCGGGTCCCTGCTTGTGCACGCTCCTGATTGTTGTACGGGACCTCTGTGTGAGGTCCCGATCATGTGATCACTGATTGGCCAATCAGTGATCACATGAAGAGTAGTGAGCAAGATTTCACTTCCTGACATCATTGCTTACTATGTGTGGAATCTGTGAATAATCACAGAGATCACATGGTACAGGGCTATTCACAACAGCCTTGTACCATGTGACAAGCTGTGACCAATCACAGCTCACACACTATTTCTCAATGGCTGCAAGAATGCAGCCAGAGAGAAGGAGATATTATTGATTTTACAGCCTTTATGGGTATAAAAGCAATCAGTGTAAAAAAAGGAAAAAAAAATCTTCATCACCCCCCACAAGTAGTACAGTGTCACTATGGTGATACTGTACTGCTAGGGTGACAGTATGTTTAAAAAAAAAAAAAAAAAAAACTTAAATAATAATATGAAAAAATAAAATAAAAATGTAAAAAATGTTTTGGAAAAAATTATAATTTTTGGTTATAAACTAATTTGGGTTATTTTATTTTTTAGTAAAAAGATAACTGAATAAATTTTGGCCAAGACTTATGAAGGAAGATTATTTATTTGCAAAATTTTTATAAGAAAAACACTTTTTTTCAAAACTTTTGGACTTTTTCATTTATATAGCAAAAAAAAAAAAAAAATCCCAGTGGTGAATACCACCAAAATAAAGTTTTATCTGTCTGGCAAAAATTCTAAAGAATTCATATGGATACAGTGTTGCATGACCGCGCAATTGGCATTCAAAGTGTGACAGCGCTGAAAGCTGAAAATTGGTCCGGACTGGAAGGGGGTGAAAGTGTCCAGATTGGAAGGGGGTGAAAGTGTCCAGATTGGAAGGGGGGTGAAAGTGTCCGGACTGGAAGGGGGGGGGGGTGAAGGGGGGTGAAAGTGTCCGGACTGGAAGGGGGTGAAAGTGTCCGGACTGGAAGGGGGTGAAAGTGTCCGGACTGGAAGGGGGGTGAAAGTGTCCGGACTGGAAGGGGGTGAAAGTGTCCGGACTGGAAGGGGGGTGAAAGTGTCCGGACTGGAGGGGGGTGAAAGTGTCCGGACTGGAAGGGGGGGAAAGTGTCCGGACTGGAAGGGGTGAAAGGGGTCCGGAAAGCGTCCGGACTGGAAGGGGGTGAAAGTGTCCGGACTGGAAGGGGGTGAAAGTGTCCGGACTGGAGGGGGGTGAAAGTGTCCGGACTGGAAGGGGGTGAAAGTGTCCGGACTGGAAGGGGGTGAAAGTGTCCGGGACTGGAAGGGGGTGAAAGTGTCCGGACTGGAAGGGGGGTGAAAGTGTCCGGACTGGAAAGGGAAAGTGTCCGGACTGGAAGGGGTGAAAGTGTCCGGACTGGAAGGGGGGGAAAGTGTCCTGGACTGGAAGGGGGGGAAAGTGTCGGACTGGAAGGGGGGGAAAGTGTCCGGACTGGAAGGGGGGGAAAGCGTCCGGGACTGGGGAAGTCCGGGGGGGAAAGCGTCCGGACTGGAAGGGGGTGAAAGCGTCCGGACTGGAAAGCGTCCGGACTGGAAGGGGGGAAAGCGTCCGGACTGGAAGGGGGGGGGGGAAAGCGTCCGGACTGGAAGGGGGGAAAGTGTCCGGACTGGAAGGGGGGAAAGCGTCCGGACTGGAAGGGGGGAAAGCGTCCGGACTGGAAGGGGGGGAAAGTGTACGGACTGGAAGGGGGGGAAAGTGTCCGGACTGGAAGGGGGGGAAAGTGTCCGGACTGGAAGGGGGGGAAAGTGTCCCGGACTGGAAGGGGGGGAAAGTGTCCGGACTGGAAGGGGTGAAAGGTCCGGACTGGAAGGGGGGGGAAAGTGTCCGGACTGGAAGGGGGGTGAAAGTGTCCGGACTGGAAGGGGGGGAAAGCGTCCGGACTGGAAGGGGGGGAAAGCGTCCGGACTGGAAGGGGGGGAAAGTGTCTGGACTGGAAGGGGGGGAAAGCGTCTGGACTGGAAGGGGGGGGAAAGTGTCTGGACTGGAAGGGGGGGGGAAAGTGTCCGGAGTGGAAGTGGTTAAAGAGTTCATAAAAGCAGGCCATGTCACAAATGCTGACAATGTAATTCCCCGACCACAGTCATACAGAAGGCACGGTGCTCCTCCGTGGTCGGATAGGTAGCAGTCTGTGTGTGTAGCCAGGTATGGCCATGTCAGGGGTCCGTCTGTTTTGTATGTGATATTGCTCTCTTGTCTTATACACAGCGCCCTTTGTGTTCCCAGGCCAGGCCGACTCCGCCTCACCTGACCTCAGCCATGGCGGAGAACATTCTGGCAGCCGCCTGCGAGAGCGAATCAAGAAAAGCCGCCAAAAGGATGAGACTAGAAGTTTATCAGACCTCTCAGGTAATCCCGTGTCCCTGGAAGCATTGGCAGTGCAAAGCAGGAAGCTAGACGTGTGCACTGATGTATTGATTTTCCCAAATAGTTGTCTGATGGCAATAATCTGAGAATACCTTTTTCTTGCCAGTTTGTAAATCACAAGAGGTGTTCCCAACCACACCCACTGCTTTTTATTTTTCTTTTCCTTCTCACTTTCCTCTCCCCTCTTCCTCTCTCCTCTCCTCCACTGCTCTCCTCTCCCTTCCTCCACTTCTCTCCCATCCTCCTCTTTTCTCCTTTCTTCCTCTCTCCTCTCCCCTCTTCCTCTCTTCTCTCCCCTCTTCATCTCTCCTCTCCTTTCCCCTCCTCCTCTTCTCTCCTCTCCCCTCCTTTCCTCTCCTCTTCACTCCTCTCTTCCTCCTCTCCTCTTCTTTTTTTTTTCTTTCTCTTCTTTTTCTTTCTTTTCCTTCCTTACCACTCTCCTCTCCCCTCTTCCTCTCTCCTCTCCCCTCTTCCTCTCTCCTCTCCCCTCCTCCTCTCCCCGCCTCCTGTCTTCTCTTCTCCCCTCTTCCTCTCTCCTCTCCCTTTTCCTCTCTCCTCTCCCCTCTTCCTCGTATCTCCTCTCCTCCTCTCCTCTCCCATCCTCTTCTCCTCCTCTTCTCCTATCCTCTTCTCTTTTTTTTTTTTTCTCTCTTTCTTTTCCTTCCTTACCACTTGTCTCTTCTTTTTCTCCCACTTCTCTTCTTTTTCTTTCTTTTCCTTCCTTATCACTCTCCTCTCCCCTCTTCCTCTCTCCTCTCCCCTCCTCGACTCCTCTCCCCTCCTCAACTCCTCTCCCCTCCTCCACCTTCTCCTGTATCTCCTCCTCTCTTCTCCTCTCTTCCTCTCTCTCCCTCTCCTCTCGCCTCTCCCCTCTTCCTCCTCTCCTCTCCCTCTTCCTCTCTCCTCTTCCTCTCTCCTCTTCCTCTCTTTTCCTCCTCTTATCTCCTCTCCCCTACTCCTCTCCTCTCCCATCCTCCTCTTCTCTTTTCTTTTTTTCTTTTTCTCCCCTTCTTTTCCTTCCTTACCACTCTCTTCTCATCTCTCCTCCTCTCCCTCTCTTCTCCTTTTTCTTCCTTCGCACCCAGCACTGGCTCTACCAGTCAGTATGGCTCCTGGTCACCTTGTGTCCTTGTATCCTCCTCAGGAAGAGAATGTTTCCTTAGAGAAGACTTCCGGCCTCTCACAGTCCACCTTCACACTGCCGGCGACCAATTTTGTCCAGGATCCCGTCTATGTGAACGGAAGTCTCCACTACACTTATCGCGGTTACGGGTCCATTGGAGGCAACCTGGCGCCTCCCACCTCACTGCAAACTGGAAACCACTGCAATGGTAAGCTCCGCCCTGTACAATAACCAGCCGTGTAGGATCAGACTGACTTTATATGGAGGGTAATGGGGCATTTGTAGGGTGTATGGTATATGTGTACTATATATGTCTGCTTAAAGTGGTTGTAAGGACTGAAGAACTGCAGCAGCACCCCCTTAAACTTAATGGAGCCCCATCCTGATCCAGTGATGTGCACAAGAGCCTCGGCTCTCCTGCATCTCTCCCTCCTCATTGGTTGAGACAGCAGCAGGAGCCACTGGCTCCCACTATTGTCAATCGCAGCCAGTGAGCCAATGAGGAGAGAGCAGGGGTGGGGCTGCGTGTGTTTGAGTGGACACACAGAGCAGCGGCTCGGCAGCCTCCATAGCAAGCTGCTTGCTGTGGGGGCACTAGGCAGGAAGGAGGGGACAGGAGCGCTGCTGGGGACTCGAGAAGAGTAGAATCGGGGCTGTCCTGTTCAAAACCATTACACAGGGCAGGTCAGTATGACATGTTTGTTTTTTTAAAAAACAAACAAGCCTTTAACCTCTTTCCCCCACCCTATAGCAGAAATACTGCTACAGGGCGGCAGGGCTGCGCAAAGTCACATTTTATATACGTGATTTGCATCTCCGGGTAGGGGGACCCTACCCACGCCGCCATTGGTGGCTACAGATGTCAATCACCGGGTCCTGACCGAAGGTCCTCCGCCGGCAACCAGTGATTGCCGAGTAACATTTGACAGGGGAGAGACCTGTGTGTAAACAACACAGGTCTCTCTCCTGCCAGCAATAACATGCTGCTGTGTATTTCTATGAGAAATACACAGCAGCATGTTTCCCTAGTACAGGGGTGGGCCAACTGCGGCTCTCCAGGACTACAAGTTCCATCTTGCCTCTGTAAGTCATAGCTGTAACTGTCAGTTTTGTAATGTTGCAATGCCTCATGGGAAATGTAGTTCCACCAAAGCTGGAGAGCCGCAGTTTTCCCACCCCTGGCCTAGTATAACACACACAGTACACAGTAAAACACAAAACAGCACACAGGTAACCCTTTGATCGCCCCCCATGTTAACCCCTTCATGCCCAGTGCCATTAGTACAGTGTCAGTGCTTTTTATTAGCACTGATCACTGTATTGGTGTCACTGGAGATGTCAGTGGCAGTTAGTCAGTTCCCCCCAGTGTCAGAATGCCCGCCACAGTCCCGCTGATCACCGCCATTACTAGGATAAAAAAAATAAAAATTCCAGTATCTATACCGCCATTTGTAAACGCTATAACTTTCACATAAACCAATTAATTGACAGGTTTTGGGATTTTTCATTAGCGAAGATACGAAGCAGAATACATTTTGTCTTAAATTTATGAAGAAATGTAATTTTTTCATTTTTTTTACTGGACATGTTTTATAACAAAAAGTCAAAAATAATGTTTTGTGGTTTTTTTTTGTTTTTTTTTCAAAATTGGCGGTCTTTTTTTGTTTATAGCGCAAAAAATAAAAAATGCACAGATGATCAAATACCACAGAAAGAAAGCTCTGTTTGTGGGGAAAAAAGGACAGAAATTTAATTTGGGTGCAGCGTTGCATGACCGCGCAATTGTCAGGTGAAGTAACACAGCGCCGTAACGCAAAAATAACAACCTGGTCAGGAAGGGGGGACATCCTCTGGAGGGCGAGGGGTTGATATCACTTTAACCCCCGTTCACACCTATGCGGCCGTGCGGGCCACGTTTTGCACAGGTACGAGAGTCCATTCATTTGATTGGACTCCTGTGCCCCGGGACACGCAGGGAAGAAGTCCCGGCACTTCTTTGGAAAACGCAGCCGAGGTTCCCAGAACGGTTTTCCAGTGCAGGCAGCGTGCCATTAGAACTAATATCACCCCCCCGCGAGTCCGCAGTCCTCTGTGCGGGTGGTGTGGCTGCACGGATTTTCGTGCGGATCCGCAGCAGCACCACCCCGCACATGTGAACCTAGGGCAGGGGTAGGCAACCTGCGGCTCTCTAGCTGTTGTGGAACTACATTTCCCATGAGACAATTGACAGTTATAGCTAGGACTTGCAAAGGCATGATAGAACTTGTAGTCCTGCAACAGCTGGAGAGCCGCACCCTGACCTAGGGTAAGGTGGTACTAAACCTATCGATATGACGGTTTCAGAAATCAGCACGTATCGGGAATGCGAACTGTCCCATTTGTTTATGTTCTGAACCAAACTGCCGAACCGTGAAATGGCCGTTGTCATAACTGATCACATGTGCAGCACCAGGTGCAGACCAAACAGAGGCTATGGTGGCCTCTTCCTTTGGATGAAGGAGAGGGGGGTTTAGTTCCACTTTGCCCGTTTTCCTATTACAGTCAAGTCATGCCAGGAATAATAACTGTCACAGTGGCTCTTGTTCTTCGCTAAACTGCCAAGACATCAAATGGCGGCCATCATAACTAATGGCATTTGCAGTACTGTGGCAGCTGCAGATGAAGTGGAGAGTAAGATGGCAGCTTCCTTGGATGAAGCATAGGGGGGTTTAGTTCCACTTTACCCAATTTTCCTATTACAGTCAAGTCATGCCAGGAATAATAACTGTCACAGTTGCTCTTGTTCTTCGCTAAACTGCCAAGACATCAAATGGCGGCCATCATAACTAATGGCATTTGCAGAACCGTGGCAACTGCAGATGACGTGGAGGGTAAGATGGCAGCTTCCTTGACTGTGAAGGACAGGAGGGTTTAGTTCCCTCTGAGGTTGCACACGTCATATCATTTTATTTTATCCTCCCATAGCTGATATTTGCTCAACGACACATCCAGCTTTGACCTTCTTTTTTTTTTTTTCTTGAAACAGGTCCAACTGATCTCAGCATGAAGTCTTCGGCTTCTGGCAGCACCCCCACCAACTCCACCAACCGGGCAATGCCGTGCGCCCAGCTCAGCCCCACGGAGATCGGAGCGGTGCGACAGCTGATCGCCGGGTACCGAGAGTCGGCCGCCTTCCTTCTGCGCTCAGCCGATGAACTGGAGAATTTAATATTGCAGCAGAATTGACCTGAACCCTCGGGCCTGGCCCTCGGCCTCTCACTCTACAGACTGAGAGAAGACAGCGAGGTCCCTCCCCCCCCCCCCCCCCACCCCCCACCCTTCTTCCCAGTCGCAGACACTGAACTTGCTCACCGAGCAGGAGCCATATTTTATCCCGCTGGGCAATCGGAAAGGACGCTGTCCCTGCGCTTACCGCGCTCTACTGATAGAACGAACTCCGCCCAGCGGCGGGACGGACGTCAATCGCATATTTATTGAGATAAGGATTTCTTCTTTTATTAATTTATTTTTCTGATTTTTTTTTTTTTTTTCATTTGTACAATATATTCGTGTTTGTATGTGTGTAAGTGGACCCATCGACTAACCGGAGCAAAGTCGTTTTGTAGCAGGTGGTAATTCCCAAGAAAGCTCGCAAAACGGCCTGCGCTCTGTAAAGGTGACAGGTACACCTTGAAGAACTTTTCCCATCCAACGGTCATTCCATCTCTTCCCAGCGTCCATGCCGTTTTTGGCTTTGGCTGGATCCATTCCACTACGCCATTCTTTCAAGGTCCACTTTGACATTCCACCATAGACATTGTTCGCACTCCACCAAGGAGCAAGGGGGAGCTCATTTTTCTTTACTGTCCTGTCTCCTCCCTAGCTCCTGAGACCTTCCATCACCTTTTTTTTTGGACCATACCATTCCACACTCACGCAGGTGACGTCACACTAAATCGGGCTAAGCAACGAATGAAATACCTCCTTCATCCTCTTTCCACCTCTCATCCACCGGGGCTGCTGAATCATGTTAACACACTAACATTTGCTTATTGCTGCTATAGATCGCCTTTTTTTCAGGTAAACTCAGCCGCCCCCCCTTCCTCTCTTGACCACGAGACCTCTTCTCCTTGCACGTCCGTTCTTACAGGTGTTTTTTGCACAGAAACTAACCCCCCGACTACACACAACTCAGGCGGACAACCGGCTCAACCCTCAACCTGAACCTTTTGGTTCGGACCTCACTTTACTGCTCTCTCCGTCCCGATTAACGAACCACTGTCTCCGTTTTTTGGTCCACCTCATTTCAGAACATTCCATTTGAAGTCGCCATTTTCTTTTCCCCCCCCCCCCCCCCCGCTTTTTCTATAATGTTTTGGTTTTTCTTTTTGTTACGTGTTTTCTTGTAAAGCCATTCCTCCTGCTATCGTCCTTTATATTCACATCAAGGCAAGCACTTTGCAACTAATGATTTTTTTTTTTTTTTTAGGGTGATTCAGGAACTTTTTAGGACTCTGTGTAACTAAGGTAGTCCTCAACTGCGAGCTGCATTGTGTGCGGTGACTGTGGATTCACAGCTTTTAGCGGCATCGCTTCTGTCGGTCGTTGTAGCTTTTTACCGTGGCCGTCCTCGCGTGGAGGATGAGCTTCCGCTAAGCACTTGGTGAACCTTTTTTTTTTACTTTTTACCAGACCGACCTCCTCTTTAAATCGGTCACGACTCACTTACGACTTTCTGTCTTTGTAGGTGGGGTTTGATGCACTGACAACAGAACAAGACCCGGCAGCCTTTTTTTTTGTATAATTTTTGTGGTGCTTTTATTTCTTTTCTATTATTACTTCGACTTAGCTCAGTGGTTCTCAACCTTCCTAATGCCGCGACCCTTTAATACAGTTCCTCATGTTGTGGTGACCCCCAACCATAAAATTATTTACCCAGTAATTATAATTCATGAGTGTCGTTTTACCTCCAATACTGCCGCTTTCCACACAGTAGCTGCTTTCAACACAGTAGCTGCTCTCAGCACAGTAGCTGCTCTCAACACAGTAACTGCTTTTAACACAGTAGTTGCTTTTAACACAGTAGCTGCTTTCAACACAGTAGCTGCTCTCAATACAGTAGCTGCTTTTAACACAGTAGCTGCTCTCAACACAGAAGCTGCTTTTAACACAGTAGTTGCTTTTAACACAGTAGCTGCTTTTCAACACAGTAGCTGCTTTCAACACAGTAGCTGCTTTCAACACAGTAGCTGCTTTTAACACAGTAGCTGCTCTCAACACAGTAGCTGCTCTCAACACAGTAGCTGCTCTCAACACAGTAGCTGCTCTCAACAACAGTAGCTGCTCTCAACACAGTAGCTGCTTTTAACACAGTAGCCGCTCTCAACACAGTAGCTGCTTTTAAACACAGTAGCTGCTTTTAACACAGTAGTTGCTTTTGCTCTCAACACAGCAGCTGCTCTCAACACAGTAGCTGCTTTTAACACAGTAGCTGCTTTCAACACAGTAGCTGCTCTCAACACAGTAGCTGCTTTTAACACAGTAGCTGCTCTCAACACAGTAGCTGCTTTTAACACAGTAGCTGCTTTCTACACAGTAGTTGCTTTTAATACAGTAGTTGCTTTCAACACAGTAGCTGCTTTCTACACAGTAGTTTTTTAACACAGTAGCTGCTTTTAACACAGTAGCTGCTTTCTACACAGTAGTGCTGCTTTTACAGTAATACAGTAGCTGCTTTCTAAACACAGTAGCTGCTTTTAAGACAGTAGTTGCTGCTTTCTACACAGTAGCTGCTTTCTACTTTCTACACAGCAGCTGCTTTCTACACAGTAGCTGCTCTTTACACATCGGAAATATGTATTTTCCGATGGTGTTAGGCGACCCCTGTAAAGAGGTCATTTGACCCCCAAAGGGGTCGTGACCCACAGGTTGAGAACCACTGACTTATCTGAACCACACATTCCTTCCGACAGCTTTACTCGCGGTCAACGCGTATGTCTTATTTTTTTTAAAATTTTGGTCTGTTCTAATTTCGGACTACGAGTGTCCTGTTTACATATACGGATGCCCCAGCTCTTGCAGGATCCTGGGGTAGAGGGGACAGGAGGGGGGGGGGGTCACTCCTCTCCTTACCAAAAGCCACAGGTATCCCCTGGCAGCAAACGGTGGCGCCTTTTGAAGCGCGTGATTCACTTTACTCCCACTGACTCAGGTAGAAAGGAAGTCACACTTGATGGCTACTGGGTTTACGGACTGGCTTCCGAAAGTTATTGGATCCGCCCCCTTTTTGAATCCGTGAAGGTGAGGCCACACCCACGTTTGCTTGAAATGCGTGGTATGGCCAACTTACGTTCTATCCAGGGGTGGACTAACCATTTGTGAACTTGGGCACTGCCCGAGGGCCCAGGGTCAGTAAGGGGCCCCATGAGATGCCCCTGGTACATTTCATAGGCTTTTTTGGGTGTGGTTTAAGTGTGGGTGAGGACACAGGGGCCCCATGATCCCTTATTGCCCGGGGGCCCCATGAGGTGTCAGTCCGCCCCTGGTTCTGCCTACAACATATATAGTGTGAGGGCCCACCTGATTAGATATAGACCCTCACACCGCACAAGACTAAGCTACCCTGGCTGTTTGAATTAAGCGTGATCCATTGGAAAGCTTTAAAACAAGATGGCGGTATACGCCGTGGATGTGCCGAGGGAAGCAATTTGATTGGTTTTTCCATGCTAGCCTGAGCCTGTCACCAATCTACGTAGAGTAGTGCTTAGTGGTGCACCGAAATGAAAATTCTGGACCGAAACCGAAAATTTGCTTGGCCAAAAAAAACGAAACCGAAATGGACACTTTTTTTTTTTAAATATTTTTTTTTATACATTATTGTGATATATTCTACTTTTTATTTAATATCTTGAATTTAAATGACAATGAATTTAAAAAGTACAATCCAGTAACGTAAGAAAATAACTTTTATTGAAAGTAACGCACAAAAAATTGGACAGAAAATAAAATTAAATATATGTAAAATTAAAAAACTTAAACGAGAGGCATTTTTGCATTGAAGTCAATAGGGGGGGATTTGGCATTGAAGTCAATGGGATGCGATTTTGCATTGAAGCCAATAGGGAGCGTTTTTGCATTGACATTAATGGGACGCAATTTTGCATTGCTGTTAACGGGATGCGATTTTGCATTGAAGTCAATGGGACGCGATTTGGCATTGAAGTCAACGGGATGCGATTTTGCATTGAAGTCATTGGCATTGAAGTCAATAGGGAGCGTTTTTGCATTGGTGTCAATGGGACACATGTTTTGCATTGACGTTAATGAGATGCCATTTAGCATGGACGTTAGTGGGGCGCAATTTTGCGTTGACGTTAACGGGACGCGATTTTGACATTGAAGTCAATGGAACGCGATTTGACATTGAAGTCAATGGGATGTGATTTGGCATTGAAGTCAATGGAATATTTTTGCATTGAAGCCAATAGGTAGCGTTTTTGCATTGGCGTCAATGGGACGCAGTTTTGCATTAAAGCCAATAGGTAGCGTTTTTGCATTGGCTCAGTTTTGCATTGATGTTAATGAGATGCGATTTTGCATTAATGTTAATGGGACGCAATTTTGCGTTGACGTTAATGGGACACTATTTTGCATTGAGGTCAATGGAACGCGATTTTGCACTGAAGTCAATGGGACGTGATTTTGCATTGAAGTCAATTATCATTATATGCACCTTTTTCCTTCTATAGGCAAAAGGCTGATAACCTGATTTTTGGCTGATAATTTTCGGCGGCCGATATATCGGTGCATCACTAGTAGTGCTACACTGTAGAGTGCAGGTTACAGAAATACTACATTGTCTGGCAGTATGAAGAGTTTCCTGTGACAATAGTAGCTCAAATGAAAAGTCAGGCTTGGCTGGCTACATTCATGGCAACAGATGTGGGAAGACCTCTTCCTCAGGGTCCCTCCGCAAGGGGTTTTGGGTGGACTTTTTTCCTCCTATATTGTGTGAGGGTTGGCTTTAAGGGGGTGTCCTTGTTAGCCTCCAGCAATGTAGTGTATTTCGGTGCTAGGTAGGGGTGCAGGTGACTGATGAGCACCTAAAATCAGTGCTGGGTGGAGGTGCATCCAAGGTCCACCCAGCATTGGTGGAAGCGGGTGAAGACACCAGTGTAGACCCAAGTTCCCAGCTTCATCCCCCAACATCAGCCATTTCTTTTACCCCCAATGGGTTTCTAACTGAT